AAGTTCCTAGTGACAGCCCTCTTCCTACCTTAAAAATGACTACCTAGTGTCTATGAACTCACATGTCCTTTCCTCAGTAGTGGGATAATCTTTCTGATGTCTCTTCTTATAAGCACACTAATTCTGTCAGATCAGGGCCCTACCCTATGACCTAATTTAATCTTAATTAATCCCATAAAGACCCTGTTCCCAAATACAGTTTGGAGGTTAAGAGCTTCTAGGTATGAATTTTAGGTCACAAAATTTCTCCACATGATTAATACACTTTCTTTAAGCTTATATTTATTGAGTGCCTTCTTTATCCCTGGTGCTATAAGCAAATTGGTGTTCTCATTCTAGAGAGGGAGATAGCAGACAATATGTGTGTGTGTGTATTCTGAAAATTTAAGTAGATTAAAGAGATAGAAATTGAGAGGGCTGAGAGAGTGCTATTTTAGAATAGGTAGTGCCTCTCTGATAAGGGAACAAGGGATTAAATATCTAATGTAACTGAGGAGGAGCAAGCCTCTAAAAGTTTACAGGCAGGAGATTCAGGCTCAAAGGCCAAGAGGCAAGAATAGGAGGGTTCAAAGAACAGCAAAAAGCCCAGAGGCTGAGGAAAATATAGGCTAGGAGAGAATAGTGGAAGGAGGCAGCAGCAGGAGCAGGTAAGGCCTTGGAGATTGGGTCAAGTTTGTGCTGTATTCTGAGAATAGGGTCATTGGGTGGACTTTGAACAGAGGATTGACCTGACCTAACACATATACTTTCAAAGGGTATCCAGGTCTCCGTAAATGCTATATGGATATATTAGACAACAGAGGCAAGGCGGAGAGTAAGAAGGTAAGTTTAGAGACTTTTTCACAATACAAATGGATGATGCTGGTTTGGAAGTGTGACAGTGGAGGAGGTTGAATTTGGAACACCTTCTGAAATCATGTGAGATATGAAAAAAGATGGCAAAAAAAAAAAAGAGGTCTTTGCAGGTTTGAAATTATTCTAAGTTCACATGAAAAGAGGAATCGAAAAATCCAAATATGGCCACTTGAAAGGTGTCCTATCCTAGCCCTTCATACTAATGCATACAACATTTCACGAGTGCAATTATTTTTGCCCTTGTCTGTTGAATCTCTCCTTCACTAGTATGTGAACTGCTGGAAGATAAGGCTTGTTTCTGTGTAGGTGACTCTTATGACATCCACACCAAGTTCCAAGCCATGTTCACTGTCTGCGCCTTCTGAATTTCCAACGCTTTACGCAATCTTAAAGTGATATCTCATTAGGAAAAGGTGAAGGAAATAGGGATGCTAAGATTTTCATGAGATAGCAGATAGGTCTATAAAGATTGGGTAATTTTTCCGAGCTATCCTCTCACATTATTTAAAGTCTAAGATAAAACCAGTTTTACCACTTCAAAAGACACACTCTATCTCCAATTCTATCACCTCTTTTTGTTACACTTCTTGTAGGGTTTTATCCTGATTTGAGTTCATAACCATATTACACATTTATTTACAAAGGTATTAGTTCTGCTAAGAATAATAAATACCATTAGCCTTCATTATTCAAACTCAAACAAAACGATAAAAATGAAGAGAACTACAGGTGATTTTTTAATCTTATTTTCAATGTTTGCTGGCTGTCTCTCCCATAAACTTTTATACCAGAAGTTAAAAGCTCTCCAAATTGATTTTGTTACATTTTATTTCACCCTCCTTCATATTGCAAAGAAAGTGAAAAATAAGCAAAGATACCGACAGCTCTGGAGACAAGAAGGTGCGATGTAATGGCAGGCCTAGGTAAACTTGAACATGGAAGATCTGAATTATTCTGAGGGGATCATACTTAGCACGGGGGTAAAAGTTACATATAATATGCTGATTTCTAGCATTCAGCTTTTATTTAATAATTAACTTTCTTTAACCCCCTGAAATGTCACTGGGCTGGGGCTCTGAAAGGCAGACGTGCAGAAGGCTGCAGTAATGATGGAGTCTTTGTGTAAACTACACAAGACGACACCAAGTGATGTCAGCAGAACCCACGGATAGAATCGCTCGAGTTTCCATCTCTTGACCAGAGAACGTCCGCGCAAGAAAAGGTCCTTGGCGCCGCCAGAAACTTTCCCCAGACTTGGCCTTGGTTTATAGAAGTCGCTTCCCGGTTCCAGCGCCCCAAGCGAGGTGGGTGGGTGGGGACGCCGCCACTGGAGGGCGGGGTCACAAGCACTTGGTCCAACGACAGCTGGGGCGAGGGGGGCAGGTCCAGAAAAGAGGCTGGCGCAAGTGGGGTGACTGCTTCAAGGGGTGGAGAGGCGGCCTCGGGGTCTCAGGACTGGTTTTGGCTCCAGGGCCCCACCAAGGGGTGGGGAGGTGCACGTAGCCCCAGTACCGCAGGGAGGGGGTGGTGGGGCTGGAGCGAAGATAGGGAGGGAGGGGCCGGGATGTGGGGCGGGGGGGTATCGCGGTAGGAGAGGGCGGGGTCCGTAGGGCGGGGTCGAACGCGTCCCCTCTCGGCTTAAGCCGGTGCGTTGGCCGCCACCGGACCCGACCGTGAGCCGCCTTGTCACCGGCGTCCCCAGGTAGAGTTGGTGAGGGGAGGACTGGGGCGGGGCCGCACCCCGGAGCAGACTAGGGACGCGGTCGGGGGGAGGGGGCTGGGATGGGGGGCGGACTGTGCATCCCAGCCCCTGCCACGAGATTGGCAAACTCTAGGAATGCCAGGGTTTGGAACATCTTTTGCACCCTAAAAACGGTTACTCTACTGTGACCCTCTAGTAGCTGCCCAGCTGTTCTGAGAAAGCACAGGTTTCCAAAGGGTGTTTCAATCCAAAATGTTCTGGGTATTTTCTGCACCCTCCTACCAAACTACCCACCCCCCTCGACCGTCTTCCCTCCCCTCATCCCTCCCCCCCCCCTCCACCGGCTCCAACACAAACACGCGCGCTCAAACACCCTGCAGGCGGAGGCGGGGGCCTAAGGGATTAGAGGAATAGAGTCACTGTCGTCAAACAGAAGAGATTAGAATCTGGGCCGGACGTGTCGGGGCTGGGGACTGCAGAAAGTAGGCTCAGCTGCCCCTCGCTTCCGACCCTCAGGTGATGCCTGATTGATTTGTCTGAGTCGGTTAGCTCTGAAAGCCTGGGGCTGTAAAAGGTTTGGGTCTAGAATGAGACTTTGATCGGTAGAGGCTTTCTTTGTCCTGCCCTCCAAGTTTGAAGTGGTTATTTAAGAGAACTAAGTTTTTAAAACTTGTTTAAAATAATACAACTTTCAATTAGATTTTATTTTTCAGTATACATGTATGCATTATAAGACTCAATAACTGGTGATAAAGTGAGTTCAGAGGGTATGGCATCATTAAAGTCGAAAACTAAGTTTATTGTATAATTTTAGAAAAACTGCTTCCTTATGTGTTTTTTTTTTTTAAATATGCTGTATTATTGGGATGCTTCCTTGTGGGGAATCTGTCACATCACCTTGGCCTTGTGGGAGACAGCATTAGTGTTTCAGGTAGGTGGGGCCCCCCTCCCTTTCTTCCCAGGCCTCTAGCCTAGATTTCTGGCAAGAGGAAACAGGTATCAGAAATGTGCTGTAGGCAAGTTTGAGAGCAAAAATGGAATGCCACAGATTTTTGTGAGTCTTACTGAAATTTTCACATATTGGCAATTTAAAACTCAAAGTATTGTTTACCACCTGTCAGACTCCCTCAAAAGTGTAAGGATTAACTAATAAAAGATTTGTAAAATGCTTCTCAAATATAAAATTCCATAAATATGCTAAATAGTAATAATCCACCCATTGTTAAATTTATGTAGCTGCTTCTGTCATGCATATAAGATGATTTAGAATGCATGTTTCCTGTCAATTAAACAATGAGTTTGGAGTAGAATAATGAGTTCAATTCATATCCTATGAAACTCTGAAATAAAATTTCTCTCATACAGCACCATCAGCAGAGAATCATAAAGTAAAGCAGTATTTCAAAAAGCTATATATGGGATGGCATTTACCTTATGGTTAGGGGGAAAGGGACCCAGTGAACTTGTGAAACGAAGAAATCCTCAGCCCTGGTTCATGTATGCCTGAACCATAAATATTCCTTTACATTTGGGGTAAATCTACGGGGAAGACAGCAAGTATTGTGGGATGGCCTTGTAGCTGTCTGCTTTAATCCATGAAGTATGCCTCTTGGTATTATAAGGCTGAAGTTCACTCTGTGGTTTTGTTCTTAGATAATGAATTAAATCTTTAGTTACCTGGATAAATTATTCATTCTTCCAACATCATGAGCTTGGTTTTTAAGCATATTTAACACTGTAATCATTTTAATATCCTGAAGAAAATTGAATTAGTTTCTTGCCAGTGGATTGAGTGACATGCTAACATAACATTTTTCTCTTTGCATGTATTTAGTAATGAAGTGTGTCATTCTTCTGTTTACTGGTCTCCAAAAGGAATACTTGTTTCTTATATGTTAATTTTAAGTATAAATATTACTGTGGATTGTCTTTTCAGTTTTATGAAGACACTTTAGATTCATCATTAGCAGGTTAAGTTGTGAGAGCAAAACCATGAAGTTGAGGCTGTTTTTCCTTTGGCGTTTTCTTTTTACACTCTGTTCTCTCAAGTGGAGAGCTGCTAAATAGCCCCTTGTCTAGAATTCTACAAATCTCTCTCTACCATCACCATTCTCCCTATATTCAAGTAACTTCACCTCTGCCCTACTTTGTCTTGATTTTCCATTATTTGGGTGTAGAGGAAAATGCACTAAGTGAAAAATCAAGAATTTGCATTTATCAGGCATCTCTGATATATCAGGCGCTGTGCCACATTATTTCAGTAATCTCTGTAACAATCTGATGCAATAGCAAGAGTCTCAAAGAAGCATTGGTGCCGAAGGAGAAACAAATACAAACCAAAGAATCAAGATCTGAACCAAGGTATTCTGAGCTTTCTGCTGCATTGTGAGCCATGATCTGGCCTGAAGTGTGAAAGTGTTTTCCTATCTTCTAACTTGTCATTTGACCTCAGATAAGTCCCTATTAGCCCTCTGGACCTCTGATTTCCTTTCTCCAGTCTGAGTTAAATTGACTATCAAGAGATGGGAAGGGACTCTTTCTAGATTTTGTTTGCCTGGCACATAAACTGCTTCCCCCACACATGGGATTCCAGAATGTGCTCTTCTTGCCCTGCCCTTTTTTCCAAATATTCCCCCCTCTTCCCTATTTATCTTTTAATCTTCCTTTAGTTTCAGGTATTTATCACCTCCTCAAAGAGGCTTTTCCTGAACACCTTCTGTCATTCTCTCAGTCCTTAGTAATTCCTTATAACACTAATTAAAAATGGCAGTTATTGCATTGTCAGATTATTTGTGGGTGCCTTTATCTTCTCGTTCATCACTGCCCCCATCAGACTGTAAGGTGTGAGAGACCAAAGTGCGTGAGACCAAGGCTTTTTTGGCTTTACTTTTTTCATTACTGTTTTCCCAGGACCTGGCACTGTGACACATAACAAGTAGCTGGTGATCAATAATATATGTGGACTGAATATATTTTATCTCTTAGAAAAGACATGAACATGACCAATGTGTAGTCCCTTCCTTGGAATAACCTAAATCCATCATACATTGTTAGAGAGGTGACCCTGAATTATGATTGGCGACCCAACCATCGTAACCGAGACAGTAGAACTGTCTTCAGACACTCAGGACAAATGCATGTAGTGCCTATGGTCCAACTCCTTATTTTACAACAGAGAAAACTGAGCCACCAAATGATAATAGAATCCTAAGTTTAGAACATATTTTAGAAACCAGATAGTAATCCATACCATTGTTTCATTGATGAGAAACTGAAGCTCAGAAAAACAGTTCTTACAGTTTAGAACCTCCATCTCTTATTTCCAGACTTTTCCTTTTTTCACCAAGAGGTCAAAAAACCCAGTCAACAGTCGTAGGGACCTATTGGTACTGTTTCTCAGAAATTCCAAAGAATCTTTGGTTTCCCAGACCACTCTTGGGTAGCATCATTAGCACATAGCAAAATGTCCCACTTCAGATGATCTTACTTTAAAATTTCCTATGGCCTCTATAAACTTAAGTGACTCATTTACTGTCTTAATGATCTGTCAGGCAGCTTTTTAATGCCTATCAATAGTTTACCAATTCTATTTAAATGCCGGGAAGCTTCAAGTGGAAAATCGACAGTGCTGAGCATTTAACGTTAGTATAACAGATTCAAGATACATTTAAAAGATGATTGAATTTTGAACTCCAAAGTTCAAAATATGTTTATAAGGACTAAAATAACTTTTATTCTCTAACTTAAGAGAGCAATCCTTGCTAGAGTATTACATCCCATAAAAAAAGCAGTTCTTGGCCCTCCCTGGTGGCGCAGCAGGTTAAAGCACTGCACAAAGAAGCTTAAGCCACTTCCGAGTGAGTTCGATTCCCGCCGCCCCCTGAGGAGATCACATGGCGTGGCAGACCTCTCCTGACCCGCCCGCTGCTCCCCTCAGCAGTGTACTTCGTCGATCTGCCTGTTCTGCACCCCACTCTGTCTCTGGTAAATCCTCTCACCCTCCGCATCTCTGGCCTGTACCCCAGTTCTGTGTGGATAAATAAATAAATCTTTAAAAAATAAAAGCAGTTCTTAAACTTTAAAGGACATAAAAATCATCTGGAAGCTTTTTAAAAACTCAGATAGTATGGAGTCATTCTGCACAGTTCTGTGAGACTCGAGCCAGACAAATGCATTTGTAACACCACTGGTGATTTCTCAGTCAAATGGTCTTAAGAAAGATCTCACTTTGAGGTCCAGTAATAATTTGGGTATGTTATTAATTTTTCCAAATTCCTTAAAATAGGATTATTCAAAACAAAGTATTTGGGGGGAGGATTAAATGTATTTTTGAATCTAGCAAAGAGTTGAGAGATGATCAAAATTGATTTACTAAATTGATATAATGAGCATATGTTTCCTTGCAACAAAAACATATATATTAAAATATATATACAGGTATATCTATGTGTACATATACATATGTGTGCATACATATTATATATACACATATATTTCTCTATATGTATAATGATACAGATGTTTGCTTTGATATTTGCCTCACATCAAGAAAGTTTAACATGTTTCTTTTAGACCACAAGAATGAACCACTAATTAGCAATAAAAATTGAATGTGGAGCAATAATTAAGCTTTTGGCACTGAAATGATTACATTTAGTTGAAAGATAAGATTAATACCCAGAAAACATTCAAAGATCAGGTTGCAGATCAAGTACAGGATGTTCAGTGCAATTTAAATTTCAAATACACAATAAATGATAATTTAGTATAGGTGTTTCTCATATATGTGTCTGCTAAACCTGGCAACCTTGCTGAAGAAACATTATTTAATGTCATTAGTTCCTAGAAAAGGGCAGGGGTTGGGTACTGAGTGATTATTAGGCTTTGAAAAATGAATAAAATTTCTAGACTCCTGAGAAAATGCCCAGCAGAACTATCACAGTTATTCCCTAGATTCCAACCTACTGAAACTCAGGAACATCATTGTTACCTATGGTAAG